AGAAAAATGTCTCAAAGTGATTAAGCATGTCTGACTTCCAGCTTTTTTTAATGGCACAAGCCAGTGCAGTAAATCGTAGAAAGCGAGCTCAGTTAGAATTTTATTTTAATTAAAAAAACAAAACAAAAAAACTCTCAAGATGTGAGGTCCTATTAAAAAAGTGGCTGTTCACTTGTAAACAGAATAAAAATGTTAAGAACACAAAGTTCGATACAGCTTAAACAAAACCATTTTTCTTTAAGCAGTACAAGTAACGTGACACCACCATAAAAACACCGAGAGCGGGAAACCAAAAAATGGCAGAAGAATCACATAACATTATTTACTAAAATGATAAATTATTTACATTGAATATTAATAGCTTGACATTTTTATTGCTCCAATGGTAGCGTGTTGACAGGTAAACGTAGTGAACTGTCATAGTGGGACAATAATAAACATATATTCATGGGTTTGCATATGGAGTTTTGTACCTATCAAGGAAAGCATTGGAACTTTTTTTTTTTTTATTTATCAAGACCACACCAGATTTGGCAAAAATGTTTTCTGTTTCAAAGTCACCCATCTACAACTGAATCCACACTTCCTAGACTTGTCCGTGCACGTCTTGGAACACTTCTTTTTTTCCTCCTACAGTAAAAAAAACTTCACAGATGCAGGTGGGGAATCAGTAGGTAAGAGCTTTGATGCTCTGCCAGTGTTCTTTAATACTTCAGTACTCCTTGGATACAAAAACTTTACTAGATACAAACCCAAATATTTCCTAGATAAAAGCTAGAAAAGAAAGTTAGTGTCAACATGTTTATATGAAAAATTAAACATTGACTTGGTAGACAGCAACTGCTTTTAAAAACCTGCTGCAAACTCACACTCCTGGCAGCCGCTAGTTCCCTCTTCTCCTTGCTCTCCGCACGTTTTCTCTTTTGTTGAAACCAGTCAAGGCACTTTCTTTACCACTTCCACTACACTTCGCTACCATTAATCTCTGTTAGATTGCTACAGATTCTCCAATTAGCAAGCATCCTACATAAACAGGTTTACCAATTCACGCTGACTTCTTATTGTCAGAAATGAGGTTTTCAGTCTTGTGAGATACAATTACCCCTGCATGTTTTTATATTAAAGCAAAGGGTAGCCCAGGCAAAAAAGAACCTGTAGGCAGAGCAGAAGGGCACAGAGCTCACGGCAGTACATACAGCTGCCGTCACCTTTATGCGAGCTATGGAACCTGTGTCTTTCAGATACAAAGGTAATACTGTGTGCTGGTTTGGCGTTTTAATGCAAATTTATCTACTTAGTAAAACATGGAGCTTCCTGTAAATGGCAGTTTTGGCCCTTGTATTCTTTACTTGTTGCTTTATGGCCACGTATGTAAATGTTTATTAAAACACAGAAAGTAGAGACCCTTTCATGGTTTGAAGACTATACAATTAATAATTAACAATAAAGTAAAACATATAGAATTTACATACTTAAAATGTAAACATCAAAAACTAATATTCTGTACTTAAGTGCTTCGCGGTGCCCAGGAGAGACCCGGGGCAGACAACCTGCTGCAGGCAGAGCAGCCTGCGGCACTGGAGGAGGCCAGGCCCCCGGGAAGGGGCCGGAGGGATGAGGGTGGAAAAGCAAAGCAGCATGGGGTGCCCAGGGAGCAGCCCAGAGAGACCGGGGGCTCCTGTAGCTCAGGGTATTCTCTCAGTGTAGCACAGCACTTCACAGAAACAAAACAAATCAGGTTGAGAAATTGTGAACCGAATACAATGAAGTCAGCACAGACTGAAGAGGATTTCTTTTAGCAGCGAGACTGAAGACCGCTCAGCATTCACCGCTGGCAATTACCAGCACTCTCATTCGGCTTGCCTGCTCTCTCAGTTGGAAAAGAACATTTTGAAAATATAGTCACATAGAGAAGAAAATGAGAACCTGCTGAGACTTCTAGAGTTTCCTACACAAAAAAAGAAAATTACTAACAAAGTTCTGGCATAACAGTAAGAAACTTCCATTGTTCTGTTAATTAAGCTAAGCTCCCTTCATTTACTCCAGCAACTTTTTTGTAAGGGAAATACATACAATCGTGTGTGCTATTTTGGTTTTGGTTTACACTGCATTTTTCCACCATTACGTATTTTCTCTGCTTCCAGTTAAGATTCATCCTAAAAAAAATAAACTGGAGAGAACACTTTGCTTGGTTCTGTGACAGAAATCTGAGTTGCAAGGTGTAGCTAACGTTAAATTCCACCAGCACAGTAGTTTTGTATTCACTAGGTTACAAATACAACTACACAGTTAGTTGTTACCAACCTACCAGTCAAAGGAAACCTCCGCACTAAGCGTACAGATTTCAGAATCTGAAGCATCAGTCTGTGATTGGAAACTTGCAAGCACTGGAGGCTGACACTCCTCAGCTGCACAGTCAGAACAGCACAAAATTTGATTTGAAATAACAACTTGCATGTAACTGGCCTTCTGTAAACACTGCGTACCAGAAATCTGGCCTACTACAGTTATGAGAATGCAATGGCCTTACAAATACTGTCTTTTAATACAATACTGCATACTGAAAAGATGCAAATACATTCAGAGGAAATCCCACGTCATCGTGAAACTAAAAAGCAACTTGGGGTGATGTCGCAAGGAGTCAAGCTGCAGCAAAGAAATGCCTGGACACTTAGGGTGATGCTCATCACAACTTGCAGATACTCAGCCATGTGCTCTTGTTTCTCTGATTTCTTATTTCTAGTTAGGAAAGGGAGGGGACTTGCATCGATTTTCGTTTGCTTACTATTACCAAGTGGTCTTGCTTAGGCCAGCCATTACAGGAAGTTTTTCTACAATTACCTCCCTTCCTGAGATAAGGCAAACAGGGAAGAATCCAAAAATGCCTGTGAATTCCACAAGGCATCTGTGGCTCTTCAGATGGTGCCTGAACGCCAAAACACATGCATGAACCCTTTCGAGCAATCCACTTCCTCCCACCAGCATATTTTGAAACACTACTCTGAAAATTTATTTCCCCTGGCAAGAATGCTGTGTCACTTAACAGTTAAAATATTGAAGTACTATCACACTCCAAAAATAACGGAAGTGTTACTTCAGCTTTGATTTGGCTGTTCCGTATTTTTCTTCTTAATGAGGAAGGTCTCCAATTATAAAACATTTTTTTCCTTACTTAAAAACTTGACATCCATAGATTCTGAACTTAAAAAGACGCTTTAGGATATTTTGCTAATAGCAGCCGCCATCTACCCCACAAATTCAATTTTCAAAGGTGAATGGTATTCAAGCTTCCTGTTTCAGGCGCTACGAACAACACCTGAAACACTTTTTTTAAAAAAAAAAAAAAAAAAAAAAAGACAGAAATGCTATGCATTTTTCATCCATTTACTAAACAAAGTGCAACTGAGCCCTACACATCTGACAGTACGTACAAACTCATTATGGCTTTCCCATAAAACCAGCACGTGAATGGGTCTATACAGTCAGGGGGATACTAGCAAATGTAACGAATAAAACGATGTCGGACTGTTGGCAATAGAATAAGAGCTATATTACATTCTGTAAACCTTGGCATACCACACTTTACATTATGCAAAGAGTCAATATTTACAAATCCATAGTGGGTAAAATAATTAACCCCCTAATGTAAATGATGATTTTGCAAAGTGCAGGACAAAACCAGTGCTGTTGATTGCAAGTCCTATGCAAGCAAGTTATACTAAAATCATTACTACTAGACGCTTACCTGGACATTTCTACTGAGGGTTTATAGGATTGCGACGTTTAGAATGAAATATAGTATGACACAGCATTAGGGTGCATGTTTGAGGACAGCAAATATAGAAATTAATAAGGCAGCATGCTCAGAACAAGTTTAAGCAGCACTGATGTTAGATCCCTAGTGGCAACTATATCAGTTAATGTTAAAAGTTCAGAGTGCAACATAGAAGCCTCATTTAACATAAAAAAATGTGCAAATTGTTCTCTTCTTAACAAAAGAAAGTAACATAGCGAGGAAGATATTCTACTGAAGAACATTTTTAAGTCACAGCAAAGTAGACCATCTTCTTTCCAAAATCATCTACAAGGCACTAAGGGTAGAAAATGACAGGTAACATGAAAGATCAAATGCTGTTCCTCAGTCAGGTCGAAATATGGGATATTTTGGTAAGAACTCTATTAATATTACCTGTTGAAGAAGGGAAAAAGACAAGAACAGAACACAGTAACCAAGAAGTTCAAACCTTCAGCACAATTTCCATGCAACATTAGCTAGCACGTAAGACTGAACACGCCTGTCAGGAGGGAATGTTTCCCAGAAGAGCAAAGTGGAGGTTTCAGTCATTTTGAAATACAGGGCTTTTGGACGCTTGACTTTTTTGGGGTGACTCTCTCTTTTCTTCGTGCCTACACAAGCTTCATGGCTATACATGAAAATGCATGGGGGACTAGTAGGACCACAGAAATATTTCAAATTCTGCTTTCCTGCTTTCTGCTTTAAGTGGACTGTCTTGGTTAAAACTTTATGAAATTCAGAGCTAGCAAAAAAACCAAACAAAAAAATCCAGACAAAACCCCCACCAGTATAAAAATGTGATATTTCTGCACAAAGAATTTGAATCAAAGTTATTATGAATACCAGTGGAAAAGGTGGATAAGTGTTTAAGAATTATGGCCTGGTGTGGGAATCACACCAATGCACAAAGTCCCAGTGGGTCTCCCTCACTACAAATTACAGACCGAAGCAAGTGCACCTGCAGTGCAAACATGGAATTGTTCTGAAGGGAAATCATCTTTAGTGGTGACAATTTCTACATCTCAATATATGCCGTGCTGCTCTTGTTAAAAGTGGCCCTCATGGGTGTACATAAACACGACTGCACATTTTTGTGAGAGATTTTTTTTGGATAGGTGACAGTCTAGTAAGGCATAAACTTTAGGTAAATCTATAAAATCGTAGGTATGTTGAATGCTGAATAAGTAACAGAAGCAATACTTACATATTCCATCATATTGCTAGTTTCGCATTTCCTTTTACTCAGCTTCCAGTGCAAACCAAGCTAAGAAAATAATTACCAAAGGATTAATGCATACCACAGCATTGTTCTCATAAGTAACATAACAAGCATTAGCAATATCCAATTATTAGGATCTGGAACACTGCAGACACAGGTTTAAGATCAGTATAAAGCATAGAATTATAACAGGACTCTAAAATGCCTACATGCAAATTATGCAACAAACCCCCTACTATTCTTAAAGCTGAAGAAAACAAGCACTCTAACTTTTCTTACCTTATGATATAGTCTGTTATTTTCCCATTCTAATAACTTCTGAATTGATCTTCTAGTCTA